TGTATTCAGCAGCAGGATGGATTCCTTTTCTATATCCAATCTGATGTGTGTTTTTTTGTATGCAGCAGAAAGATGGATTCCTTTTCTACATCCAATCTGTTAGCCTGTGTCTGTTTATAGGTGACTTGGGTCCATTTATATTAAGAGATAATAATTATCAGTGTTCCTTGTTTTTGTCATTTTAGATTTTGTTAATGGTGATGTTATTGTGTGTTTTTTTCTTCTTTGGGATTCACTGTTGTAAAATAATCTACTGTCTGCTTTTGTGGGTGTAGGTGAATTCCTTGTGTTGGAGTTTCCCTTCTAGTATATTGTGTAGGGCTGGACTTGTGGCTAGGTATTGGTAAAATCTGGTGCTACATAGAATATCTTGTTTTTCCCATCTATTATGATTGAAAGTTTTGCTGAAGATAGTAGCCTGGGCTGCCATCCATGGTCTCTTAATGTCTGCATAATGCTTGACCACAACTTTCTGGCTTTCATTGTTTCCATTGAGAAGCCACATGTAATTCTGATAGGTCTGCCTTTATATGTCACTTGGCCTTTTCTCCTTTGCAGATATTAATAGTCTTCCCTTATTTTGTGTGTTTATTGTTTGATTATTATGTGACCAAGAGTATTCTTTTTCCAGTTTCATTTCATTTCTAAAATGCATGATTTCATCAGTAATAGGAATGATCTTCCACCTCTGGGGGGGCATGAGTTATTGGTCAAGGTTTTCCAAGAAACTCCAATGACATCACGGGGTATCACTCAGATGATCTCTTTCTTTTAAACACAAGCATCAAAGCTGAGGCTTAGAGTCCAGATATGCATAGACTAACCATGAAGGTAATTTGTTCTCTCAACAATGGAAAAGTAAGTAATTTGGACCAACTTCCTCTCTGAGAAAAGTAAAACTAGTTGGGAATGCCAAAATTTATCATCTTAAGAGGACCTTGGAGCCAACCACAGTGGAAAGCACTTTGAATGAAAGCCAGTATCCTCTACAAATAGATAGCAGGAAATTTGAAATTGGGTTACTAAGAATTATAGTCAGTGTCAAAGCAACCTGTATGTGTGTGAAATTTGTGCCCCAAATACCAACACTCTTGAGGGAGAGTGACATGGGTATAGTCCATGGTTAGACTTACAGCCTGGCTTTGAATCATCTGTATGACCAGAACACATTAGGCTTTCTACTTTAACTTGGGCAACCCTAACTTCTTGGTGGCTTCCTTTCCTCCTTTCCTTCCTTCCTTTTTCCCTTCCTGTCTTCCTTCGTTCCATTCTTCCTTCGTTCCATTCTTCCTTCGTTCCATTCTTCCTTCGTTCCATTCTTCCTTCGTTCCTTCCTTCGTTCCTTCCTTCGTTCGTTCCTTCCTTCCTTCCTTCCTTCCTTCCTTCCTTCCTTCCTTCCCTGTTGCATGATTAATAAAAACCCAGAGAAAGATATTGGGGTTCAACCAGAAAAGTCAGAGAAGCAAAAGAGCCACTGACTTTTAACTCTACCTCAGTTCAAAGTGGTAATTCTGCCTCCAGGAATCCTCCGAATGATATTGTCTGAAAGCTGTCTCTTCTGTCTTATGTTCCTCTGGGATTAAAGGCACTCACCACTACTGCCAGGTATCTGTGGCAAACAAGTGTGGCTACTGGGATTAAAGGTGTGTGTCACCACTGCCTGGTCTGTAAGGCTGACAAGTGTGGCTCTTTTATGCTCTGTATAAAATACCACTGCATTTTCTTTCTTCCTTCCTCCATCCCTTTCCTTCTTATGACCAGTGTACATATGTACATATGTGGTATAATAATATGTACATGGTTGTAGATGTGCATGCATGCATTCATGCTCAGGCGTGCGTGAGTCAGAAGCAGATACCAGTTGTCTTATCTCTGACTGTCATTCTTCATTTTCAGAGTATCTCATTGAAATTAAAATTGAATGATTTAGGGAACTACTTTTCTCTTCCTCCTCAATGCTGTGATTATGAGCATATGCCAGCATGTCCAGATTTATATCCATTCCTTGTAGGTACACATGCTCTTTCAAGAATTTGAGAGCAGTTGCTGCCTCCTGCTTACTTGGTCCAGTCAGCATAATGTGCTCAATGTAATGAAGCATTGTGATACCTTGTGGCAGACGAGTTATCAAGATCCATGTGAGCTAAGTTGTGAAACAGATCATGAATAATTAATACACACTTGAGGTAGAGCAGCAAAGGTGTACTGCTTGTTTGCCAGAGTTCAACACCCTTCACCTCATCTGTTTCTTCCCATATGTCTTCATCCCAAGTCATCCTCTTTTCTAAATGTTTTTTTTTCCACTGACATCCTTTGATACTGGGATTTTTACTTGCCTTGTAAGTCAGCCAATGGCATGACGACAGATTTGGGTCTGGCTTTTGACAGTTTCGGCTCTACATGTCTACTGGAGAAAAGATTCTTGGGACACATTTAGAAGGTTAAAGGTTAGTTATACACATCTGAAACAAGCAAAGTTTGTTTCTGAGCTCATACTTTCTGCTGTCATTCCATCCAAACCATAATGTCCTCATGGTCACATTTCTTGTTTTCACACACAAAAAGTTTTAGCCCTTTATAGAGTTAACTACTACACTCCTCACTCCTTACAGGAGATGACTCGGAGGGTGCTAGATTCATTTTTCTTACATAGTTCTTTGAAAAGCTTACACCTTCAACTCTGAGTGTATTTCATCATACCAAAAGAGTTTCTTTTAATCAACTTTGGAAACTGGAGAGCCAGCCAGGAGGAAAACTCATTCTTACCATTGCTCCTCTCTAAAACCATTCTCAGCACCAGGCATGAACTGTTTCAGACAGGGTTCTTAATGGGAGTAGAAGCAATAGTGTGCGTATTTCTCATCTTTCAGTTTACCCTTCCTGGAAAGTCTTTCACGGACTCATCCAGAGGTATGTGCTTTAGTCGATTCCAGAGCTGTCAGGCTGATGGGCAAGGTTGCTGCCAACACAGCTAATCAAATGATGTGCAAGACTTCTGCCAACACAGCTAATCAGATTTTGTGGTGAGACATTCAAGAATTTGCTCTTTAGCAATTTTGAAATTTGTTTTATTATCAACCACACCATACGAATACAACATATCTCAAAATATGACTCTTTCTGTCTAAACAAAACTTTGGACCCTTGGGCCAACATTTCCCATCAATAACTCAATCATTGATAGAAATAATTTTAGGCTCATTTCTATGAGTTCAAAATGTATAGCTTCCATATATATTGTTTGTTTGCTTCTTTGTTTTTTCTGTACCTGGTTTATTTGGAAGTTTTATTATTTTTTGAGACTGGGCCTATGCTTGATGTGGACTCCCCATCTTCCTGCCTCAGACTCTGAAATTCTAGGCTTATGGGCATGCACCAGCAAATCTTGCTTTATCTTGCTTTATTTTGCCCATATTCTACAGATAAGAAATTCAGAATTTTCCCATTTTGTTGCTTACAAGAAAAATAAGATATCTACAAACCTACAAAAGATTTTGAAAGACCCCAAGCTCAGACTTGATAAGGCCTCACTCACTTTGCATATGATCTGACCTCTGTACCTCCAAACCTTTCTACCTCCCCAGATTTCCAATCCTCTAATTCCTTTGCTCTCCTCTGTGCTTCTGAGCAAAACAGCCCTCCCCCCAATTTGTGGGTGATGTTAGTTATTTAAAATTTTTACTGATATCTTGTACATCACTTCTACCCAGTATCTAGCACCTTTCCTAAGTTTATGGCAATCTGTAAAAGACAAGCATGGCTCGGTGATTAGCATTTTGTCAGTTACCCTTTGCAGCTGTGATAAAACATTAGGACCAAAAGTGACCCATAGAAGAAAATGATTCTAAAGGGAGAGTCCATAATAACAAAAGAGAATTAACACACTGTTGAGGTAGAATGGTAAAGGTATACCACTGGCCTTGGCAGAGTTCAACATTGCCACTATCATCAACAACTACCACCCCATCCCCACAGTGTATCATACGCTTTTCAAATCAATGTTCTCTCTTTAACTGTTGACATCCTTTGATATTGGGATTTATACATGCCTTGTAAACCAGCTTATCACATTGTGACCACAATGGATTGGTTCTGTTTTTTGACAACTTCAGCTCTATGACTACTGGAGAGAAGGGTCTCAGGACACGGTTCGAACGGCATAAGGTGGCTAGAGCAGAAGGCTGAGAGATCACATCTTCAACCATAAACAAGAAGCAGAGAAAGCAAACTTGAACAACAGCGGTATAAACACCCTAAACCCACCCACAGTGATGTGCTTCCTCTAGCAAGCCATATCTCCTAAAGGCTCAAGACCTTCCCCAAACAGCATCAGCAACTTAAGATCAAATATTGAGATGCCCAAGAGGGGCATCTCTCCCTCAAACCACCCGTATAACCCACTTTGATTCAATGTGATCTTACTAGGCTACTGGACAACATCTACTTAGTGGAGTTACAGATTTCAGATCCTACAAATCCAAGAGCCATTTGTTCAAGTGCGGGGTTGGCAGAAGGAAGGGTTTTGAATACACGGTAAGATTGCCTAATCACACTGAACCATCATCCATTAAAGACAAGAGTAGTGGATATCATAAACCAAGAACTCAGTGCCAACTTCATTTCCCCCCCACTTTTATAGTGGGTCATGAACCTAAGTGATGCCACAATGGCTATGGTACTCCCAAGTGGCTCAGTATTCCGGGCTTCCACAACTTTTGTGGTAGTTCATATCAGTCCATGACTTCTGAAACTTTCCCTCCTTGTAGTTTTGAAATATTATTATTTTATTATTATTAATTGTAGCTACCCTGTCATACAATATGTCTGACCAAAACTGAATTCTTCGCCCAACACCTTCCTACCCTCTGGTATGTGAAGAAAAGAGACCCACATCCTGACCTGGAAAGGGTATCAAATCTGGAACAGATTTGATTTTTTTTTTTTTTTGCACCTCTGTAGGAATTCTATTCATTCCTGGGACATGGTCTGTAGGGAAGAGGTTACTCGCTCTTCTTGGCAGGAATGGACTCTGCACTGCCAGGGTCATTCTCTGAATCCTCTTTAGGTCTAGGCACAGGCTGGAACTTCTCTGAATCGTCTTTAGGTCTGGGCACAGGCTGGAACATCTCTGAATTGTCTTTAGGTCTGGGCACAGGCTGGAACGTCTCTGAATCGTCTTTAGGTCTGGGCATAGGCTGGAACGTCTCTGAATCATCTTTAGGTCTGGGCACAGGCTGGAACGTCTCTGAATTGTCTTTAGGTCTGGGCACAGGCTGGAACTTGAGTAGGACAGGCGGAGTAAAGATGGAAGCTTTCACAACAGGCGATGGAGTCTCGTTGGTACTGGAGGGCTCACTACAGGATGCTGCTGTCCGAGCATGTATGAGGTCCTGGGCTCCATCACCAACACAGGGGAAGCCAGGGCAATGCAGCTTATGTGCATTGTTTCCTGCCAAATAGGAGAAATGGAAGCCTCCAGGGTTGAGGACCAAGGGGGTCAGGTCTATCATGTGGCTCTTAGAAGTTGACGAAAGACTGTTCCAGTTTAATTTCACTTCAGACCTTGAAATATCGAGTTTCTCCATCGGCTTGCCAGACAGTGGAGGAAAGGGGCCAAAGACCCTGGGCATAGTATAGACAGGAGGTGATGCAGCCACTACAGAGGCCATGGTGGTGACAGGTAGCGGTGGCGGTGGCAATGGTGGTGGTAATGGAGCTGGTGGCAGGCACGGGGAGGTTGACCGGTCTCGGAAGATGACAGGATCTGCTGCTCTCTTTGGTTTCAGCCTCCTCCTCCTCCTCCTCTTCTTGGCACCTACATCAGAAGCATAAGATCTGAATTCAAAGCCTGATGGTGCATACTTTTAATCCCAGCACTCAGGAGGCCAAGGTACGCAGATCTCTGAGTTCAAGGCCAACCTCGTCTACAGAGTGAGCTCCAGGACAGCCAACGCTACAAATGAAAGCCCCGGGAATACAGGTGTACACGGTGGATGCGCCACTTCAGCTGCTCCAGGCGCTGATGCATCTCCAGGGCACCCATGCTGTTGCACTGGTTCAGTTCCCCCTGGACAGCACAGACAAACTTCGCCCAGAGGCCGGAGAGGAGTCCACGCTGTTCCATCTCAGTCTGCTTGCCCTTGCGAACGACCCTCTCCGCCAGCGCTGGATTGCGGTCCAAGGAGCGGAAGAGGCAGCGCAGCGAGCGCTCCGTGTAGGTAGCAGCTTGCCTCTCGAAGTCCTCCTCGGAGATGAGTTGGCAGAAGGTCACACTCTGGGGGAATTCGTTGTCGTACTCGTCCAGGACTTCCATCGAGAGGGACTACTGGTGGTAGGCTGGTGCTGTCCATGTTTTCCCAATGCTGAGTTCAAAGGCATGGGCCTCCACACCCAGCTTTTCACTGGGTCTTGTTGGTAAAAGTAACCATGGACAGACACCCCTCGTTCTCATGGAGGGGACAAAGCGAAGGTTAGTGGAAGGAGATCCTGGTTGTCGCCGACCGTGTCCTACTCGGGACGACTCCGCACCTCGTGGCACCCTCTCGCTGGTGGGCTCCATCTTTAACCTTCTGACAGTCCCAAGGGCCGAGCCCCAGGGCTCAAGCCAGGCACAGCGCCAGCCTCATTGGCTTGAGCCAACACTAAGCTTCGCCTCCTGCACACCTATTGGCTGCTGCTGGAAAGATTTCAAAATAGCCTCCGGGTTCCGATTGGCCAGGCGCCCAAGTTTTTGCTCCGCCGTTTGCCGTTTTAACAATGAGTTCTACAAACACTTTCTCATTCATAACTTATGGAAAGGAGCTGTACCCGCCTTTTCCCAGCTTGCTTCTCTGAAGAATTGTGATACTCGTGAGGGCGCGTCCATGTTCACCACACAGCTCACCAAATAAAGGAGGGTGCTAAGATCCCAGTAAAGTGTCTGCACCACTGGCCACGCCAGCGGTTGAATGGGCCCTCAAGTTCTTTTAGGATGGGACAGTCACCCGAAGACTGTGGCCTTCCCTCTTTCTATCCAACTTTTCAGAGGGCACCATGAGGAAACCCCCAGCTGGGCTGGAGAGGCCCTGGCGTATGTAAAGGAAGGAAAATAATCTGATGTGGTTGGGATTGGAAACCCCTTTGTGGTTAGATCATTGAAAGACCTTTCTGCACTGCTAAGTGGCAAAGTGTACACATCACTTAGCACACAGAGCCGGGAGAGATCTACTCAGGTGTGTGTTGAGGATGGGGAAAAAGTGCTTTTGCAACTGGCATCTGTGCCTTCTCATGTTTTACTCCAGTTCAATGGCAGAGAGAAAATTTTTTTTCAAACTTTAATTTTATGTATGAGTACTTCGCATGTACACCTGTGTGTCAGAAGAGGGCATCAGATCCCGTTGTAGATGTGGGTGCTGGGAATTGAACTCAGGACCTCTGGAAGAGCAGCCGGTGCAACCGCTGAGCCATCTCTCCAGCACCCTGAGAATTTTTTTTTTTTCTTTGGTTTTCGAGACAGGGTTTCTCTGTGGCTTTGGAGCCTGTCCTGGAACTAGCTCTTGTAGACCAGGCTGGCCTCGAACTCACAGAGATCCGCCTGCCTCTGCCTCCCGAGTGCTGGGATCAAAGGCGTGCGCCACCATCGCCCGGCTTGAAAATGTTTTTTTTTTAGAAACAGAGTTGGCTTCCAACTCTGGAACTAGAGTATAAGGTGGTTGTGAGTTACCCAGAGCGGGCGCTGGCCCTGAGCTATCTCTCCAGCTCCTGCCAATGTTTTTGTGCTATTTTTAACACGCTATTGAGCAAACATAGTGCTCTGAACATGATAAACGTGTGATCCACCGCTGAGCTACACCTTTACTGACTTGACTTTTAATTTTAGTAACAGGAAAGTTCCACAAAGTAGAATAAACGCTCCAGTGGTCTGAGCAGAAGAAATTGATTCTGAAGCTCAAGAACATAGGTTAAAGATTAAAGAGGATATTGATCATTTCAAAGTTACTTTCCTTCTAGTTTGAGGATAGGTGAAAGACTCACAGCAGTGGGACCCTGCCAGGTCTTCTAGTGGGCGGGAGATTGTGGTGGGTGGGAGACAGACAGATACACCATGTAGAGAGAGCTTGGGTATAGAGTTTATTTAATGGGTACTGGGAAGGGTATAAGGGTAAGGGGATTATGTAGGGAAGAGAGAAATAGAGATAGAGAAAGAGAGGAGAGAAGGGGAGATGGGGGAAGAGAGACGTAATGGTTACGTCTTCAGGAAAGAGAGGTGGGGGTAAGTGATCAGCTTGCTCACGGAAAAGGGGACAATGAAAATACGGTTATTCTTTAAAGAATTCTGAGACGGTTCATGCTCCAGCATGATGGGCTGGATCTGAAGCATGGTTTAAATGTGAGTTCTGACTTCAGCCCCCGAGCTTCAGGAATTCAACCTGGGTCCTCTAATCTGTCACTAGCATACCTGGAGATCATCAAAGCGGTGTTCTCAGGAGACTAATTGTTCCTCACAATGTGTTCTGGGTGAACCAAGAACTTTTAAACTTTTAAAAGATTTTGGAGGCACTACTCTTGAAAGTAGGGGTTCACTACCTGTGTTGAACCCCTCTGCTCTCCTAGGTGGCAATAAGGAGTTACCATATGCACTGACTACCTTTTACAGATGCATGCCACCATAGGGCTCCAGGCTTTGCCTCTTCCCAGAGGACTGTTGGCTCCAGCAAGGACACTATTTCCTCAACCACCCCTGAGTAAATGTTTACCAAGGTCCATGTAGACTCCCCTTTGCAATACCTCCAAATGTCTTTTCATTTCACCTAGTTAAAAAACAGATGTGTGTACAGAGCGCAAATGTCGCTTACAATGAGAAAGGTTCTAGGCTGTGCTCTCAAAGTAGTGTGAGGGGATGGAGGCAGAGTAGAAGCGAAGGCTAGAATTCCACTCATTTCTAATAATGCCACTTCGATTCTCCCACAACCAGGTGTCCCCGCACTGCTACATAGGAGGCAGTTCCGTGGTTCTCATCCTCCTAGGAACCTGGGGCCCCAGGAGATGGCAGGAAGATGGGCGTTCTAGCCCCTGTTTCAATCACTTTTCAGACACACATCATGTAGCGCCTGCTTCTGCAGATCCTCTATAGACTAGCAGATTGCATTTACCCCTGAAGTACCATCTCTTTATTACAACTACCAGAGTAAATAATAAATGAGAGAATCCCAAAACATTAGTTAACTGAATACAAAAATAGCATTGCTAGGGGACTATGTACACATAGTAAAGCGTGTGTGTATCCAGGAAGGCTGAGGCAAGGGAAGTTTTTGTGAGCAATGCCAGAGGCACTCGTGTCTCCTCGAAACAGCATTCACTGGCTGTGGAGACCTGAGGAAGGGGTTGGTGTCAGCTCACTGGTGGAGCTGCCGCTGCTGTGAAAATATCGTTTCTGAACTACTGCACCCTTCCAGAACACTAATGATAAACCTTGTTACAGACATCGGTGCATTTGAGGAAGACAGAAGACAAGCCAAGGAGGGATAGGTGCAGAATGCGAAGAATCTCTTGCTGGATTTTAGGAAGTCTCAGTGTTTATCTGAGGCAGGAATGCTGGGCTCATTACATTGTTTCCTAATTCTGACTTTCTCTGGGTTTGACAAGACTGAGTTCATGTTTTCCAAGTTTCCAATAGCCCACAGGTCATTATCACAGTCGGATCAAATGAAACTCTTCCCATGTATCAGCACAACCCTCCTGTCTGCCTTTGTCTCTGCAGCGATGCCCAGGGCTTCAAAAGGTGCCCTTCTGCCTCTGCCTGAGTTTTCTCTTCTTCCCTGATCACAATAGCCTACATCCTCTGCACTTGCTGTATTCTGCTCTATGAACTGCTCTCCAGAGTGCCAGTCTGGTTTTGCCCCTGAATTATGATGAAGATGCTCTCCTTATCTAAGCCTATCACCTCTGAACTGTCTTCTCAACCAGCCCTGCCCTGTGCTGGCTCAACTCAGCTTCCACAAGGATACTCCCTCTCTTAGTCAGAATTAGAACTCCGCTTAGAATTTTCCATCATGGCTCCTCCTACGCCCGCTGGCTGATGGCCTTAGCTGTTCATGCTGTATGTCACAGGTAAGTCACCTTTTTTCCCTCCTATGTTGCAATGGTCTTGATTCCTATGGCAATAAGGAAACACAAACACAATAGAGACACAGAGGAAAAAAAAACAGATGAAGCACAATCAGAAATTTCTACCATAATTACAGATTTTTCAACTATAGAGATTTCTATCTTTTTAAAAACTAAGAAGGAAACTGGATGTGACCTATCCCTTTCATTCCGGCTATCAGGAGGCAGAGACAGGCAGAGTTCTGTGAGTTCAAAGCCAGGCTGGTCTACAAAGTGAGTTTCAGGACAGTCAGGGTTATTATACAGGAAAAAAAAACTGTCTTGAAAGCCAATAAATAAATAAGTATCAATAAAAATGAACTATTTCAAAATGTCCATGGGCCTCTTTACCTAACACACATATTCTTTCTCCTGCCCTCACTGTCTCATGCACACTCATACACACATATTCTCTCTCTCTCTCTCTCTCTCTCTCTCTCTCTCTCTCTCTCTTTCACACACACACACACACACACACACACACACACACACACACACCCAATCTACTCCTGGAATCTGATCAACACCTTCTACATACAACCCTGATCAACACCTCATACATACTATCCTGATCAACACTTTGTTTCCTCATGAGAACTCTGGGCTACCTGTCTAAGCAGGGATGCTTTGCAATGACCCTGAAAAGCATTATGAGATCACAATGGCTTATTCCCAATGAGACCACAATGGCCTGTCCCCAATGAGATCACAATGGCCTGTCTCTAATGAGATACAATGGCCCGTACCCAATGAGATCACAATGACCTGTCCACAACGAGATCACAATGACCTGTCCACAATGAGATCACAATGAGATCACAATGACCTGTTCCCAGTGAGATCACAATGACCTGTCCCCAGTGAGATTACAATGACCTGTCCACAATGAGATCACAATGACCTGTCCCCAATGAGATCACAATGGCCTGTCTCTAATGAGATCACAATGGCCTGTTTCCAATGAGATCACTATGAGATTACAATGGCCTGTTTCCAATGAGATCACCATGAGATCACAATGGCGTGTCCCCAGTGAGATCATAATGGCCTGTCTCTAATGAGATCACAATAATCTGTCCTCAATGAGATAATTATGAGATCACAATGGCTTGTCCCCAATGAGATCACTGTGGCCTGTCCCCAGTAAGATCACTATAAGATCACAATGACTTGTCTTTCCCCTCTGGGGCCAATAGTCTGCTTCATAAATAATTGCATATGGCAATGGCAGGTAAGGCCAGCAGATTTCATTCCCTACCACTCTGCAGAACACTAGCCCATCAATCTCCTTGGT